ATACTTTATTCCATTAGGCGCATGCTGGTCACTCAGCAGAGATTTCGAGAGAAACCTAATTCCAATTCAGCACATGCTGGTCATTAGTGGAAACCTTCATTACAAAGACCCTGTCGGTGTTAGGGGGTAGCTCCTGGAAGGCTAGGCACCGAAAGCCTTGGAGACCCAGTTGTAGGGGATCCAGGAGCTAAGAAGAAACCCCTCGATCACGGAGGGCGGGCGGGTAAGAAGGTGAGAGCCCGGCCAGAAGAACCCCCCATTGGTTCCGAAGAACCTTTTGGTTTTGCAGAACCAACGGGAGGCGGCCGGGCTCCGCCGCTACCGCAAAAGAACATCCTCTGACAATATGTAAGAGATGTTCCCGGCAATGGGTGCTAAAAGAGCAGCCAAACATTACATTGACCTGAGTTCAAAAGTGAGAGATACTACACTTTTGGAACTCAGGAGGCTCGTGAAAGGAACTCAACTCACAAGCTATATGAGGGTGCTGTGGCGCACAGAATGTTCGGCTGTAAGCCAAAGATAATGTATGCAGTATCAACGGATAATGTCCGAAAATTGGGCCGCAGATGAGCCCAGATGTGACAGATGACTCTGAGAAAAAATTTTGAAATAACTCCACAAGTTTTTATAAATCTAAGTGGTAAAATCATCAAATAAAACAACTTTTTTTGCATCATAAACATGCATTAGAATGTCTCTAGAGCTTGTGGGCCTATCTCACATCCCCAAAGTGCCTCTGCAGGTGTTAGGCAGCCCAAAAATCGAAATTTGACTCATCTGCCCACATCTGGCTCAGTCTCAGATTCATCTGTATGAATCTGAACCCGACTATTGTAAAGTCTTCAGATTCATCTGGCTACACAACCGTCACTAAAGCCGTAGCAGATTGATCTGGCTACTCATCAGGCAGATTCATCTGCTGCATTTACCCTCAACCACGACTCCATTCTAGGTGGTTGCACATGTGTACTATGACTCAACTTGGTAATCAAACACTGTATACCTGCTACAGCTTGACTCAACCCGTGTACATAACATAATGAGCTTTGATTCCAAGCCAATACATTGGGGGGGATCTCATCTGAGCTCATCTGAGCTTCATATCTACAAAACTCACTGGCTACACATACGGCTCTGATGATTCTGTAAAGAGCAATCCCATCTGGGCTCATCTGACCTTCAAATACACAACACTCACTCGCTACACATCTGGCTCTGATTACTCTTCAAGGGCAGATCTCATCTGGGCTCATCTGCCCTTCTCAATACTCATACACAATTCTTACATTGCACCAGCATGTTGTATCTCTCAGTCCTTGTACATAGATAAAATTGCATTACATGTTTTATGGAATTGAATATAGAACATCTCACATTCCAATCTTCCTCCGCAACATACCCTTCCACTGACTGAGCCTCAAAGTGTTGTCTTCAGCAATTGTTGCTTCTGAATATTGGCAAGTGTTGTGCAGAAGAGATCCTAGATGAATGTCTCATGCGAAGATCACATGTGCATGATATAGAAATAGTCCATGATAGATTCTCAGTACATTGCGCAATGTTGTGAATTTTTCACAATGTTGTGAATTTTTCACAATATTGTGAAGATTTCACAATATTGTGAAGATTTCACAATATTGTGAAAAATTCACAATGCTGTGAAAAATTCACAATGCTGTGAATTTTTCACAACATTGTGAAAACTTAACCTCAGCCTCCCTGAGATGAAAGTTCTTTTTAAAAACTTTGAGTACTTTCATTCATGTATACTTCTAGAGCAAAGCATGGGAGGTAACATTGGTTGTGCAAAGGTTACATTGTTGTGAAAATTTCACAAAATGTATGATCTTGCGGAAATCTCACAAAATTTGTAATATTGTGGAACATTCACAGGATATGTCATTTTGTGAAAATTTCACAAGATGATAAAGTTTGTGAATTTTTCACCAAATACATCATCTTGTGAACAATTCACACAACTCATCATCTTGTAAGATGATCCAAGCTACATGGTCTTATAACATTATATGGCACCAAGATGATGTTGTGATTTGTTACACCACTTTGAGACTCACAAAAAAGTCCGTCATTACATAGTGCCTTCACTAGAAAAGCAAAAAACCTTTGCAAGTGTAGTGCATGTATACATTTTGTAAAACTTCTTGTGAATTTTTCACAGGATATCTCACCTTGTGAACATTTCACCAAATATATCATTCACACTCACTCAAATTTCATATCTATACTGTACGTCTGAGGAATTCACAAAAACATGCTTCTCACAATTTGATGTGTCCACATGGAGACAACTGCAAAGACATGTGATTTCACAAGCACTCTTTTGGGCCTACCATTCAAATCACCCTCAGGATCTTTCATTTCACACCATTTTGCATTCGTCTAATCTATGTACATGTCAAATGAGCCCCCTGGTTACATTAAACACTCTTCACAAGTTCACAACATGAGCACACTATACGAT